TTATTGTTTGGATAATTATGAGTAGATTTGGATAATTATTACAAGGTAAAGAAGACTGTTTTCAATTTCTTTTCTTATTTATGAAATAATCATTAAGGGGATGCTAAAGTGACAAACAAAATCTAATAGAAAAATGTCCACCTGTGCACATCTATGTATATTATATGTACATATATTTATGTATATTATTTATGTATATTATATGTATATATATTTATATATAATATATCACATTTATATTTATGTATGCATTATTTATGTATGCATACATTTTCATATAAACTTTTTATATTAGATATTAAAGTCTAATTCTATAAAACTCAATATCATATAATATAGGATATTGACTAGGGAAATTATAGAACTTTAAAAAATACACCATTAGACAGCCAATCGGATAATATCAGGTTTGTTCGCGTTGTTTACACGTCCTAAAATTTTCATAAAATGGAATATGGTTGCACACAGGACGCGGCAATATTTACCGCACAGCAAAAGTCAATGTGGTAGTTAATTTGCAGTTAACAATTGTTAATTAACTACTCAAGCTAATCAGAGATAATGAGCCAATTCTGTTTCTTGTTAGAAAATTCCCTAGATCATCTATCGGCTTTTCTCTTCATTTCTTTTTTTTATCCATATCAATGTACGCGAAATGCTGGAGAAGGACATTTATTTCATGTAGCAACCGGTTTTTTATATTACAATCAGTTTCTCGTTTTTCCAGAAAGAATAGAAGTAGCGGCAGACAATTGGTCGCTGCTTTTTATAGATTTCGCGTATAGCGACCGGTAGACTGCGCTCGAAGCGGCGAGGCACGGAAGTTACCAAGAAAGATCATCGGACGTATTGGGGTTGTCGCCATATCGGTATTCGTTACTCGGAGAAACACTGCTAGCACGTGGCGTGTGATCGCAGAAAATTCGCCGCAAGTTGGTCGTACGGCACGCCGAAAGTCTTCTTAGAGGCCTCCAGACAAAGTGTGCGATTAATCGCAAAACAGTTGCAGCCTCGCAAAACGTTAACAACATCAGTAAGTAAGTAATCCCGGCGTGCCTCGTGCCGTTTCCTTTGCGGCTTGCCTCTAAGCGGCGATCGCCTTTTATCTTTCTTCTGGCTGCATATGGGTCGAGAAGTATAAATGTAAGATAGAAGTATCAAAGGCGAGCAAGATACAAGTAGCCGTGCGGCCAGCGACAAATGGGAGTTCGATGAGCGGCATAAATATCGAGAACAGATGTTGCAGATTTTACATCTAATCAGATATGTGTAATAGCAAATTCTCTCCCCTCCCTTTCCCTTTCTCTCTTTTCCCCTCTTCTTTCTCCTTTTCTTACCTCATCTTGTCTCTTGGTTACACTTTATGGTATATGTATATATACATGAAAAGGTGTTATATGTTTACTCAATTAAGTTTCCTGACTGTGTCTTGTGGTTGTTAGAATGTTGTGCATAGATGATATTATATAATTTTTTATTTATTATCTTATTTTTGTATTTTATTTTGTATTTTATTTTGTATTTTATTTTGTATTTTATTTTGTATTTTATTTTGGAGTCAAGAAATTCTTATTTTCTTATTTCATTTTCTTTTCGCACATAGAAATTGTTAAGTATTCTGTGTAATTTTGATACAATTTTTTATATATATCTTATAGTAGAAATATATGGAATTGTCTATTAGATCATGTATCCAGTACGTAAGATTAGATATTCTATATATAGATAGTAGGCTGTGAACATCGGTTTTGTATGCAAGCAATATTCTGTTTCTGTGTAGATTACTTTATGCTTTCCTACATATATTCAATAAAAAAATCTTTGTACTGCTTTATGATAATATTTTAAACATTAAAAAAAATTTTTTTTGTTTCTTAATTTTTTTAATTATCTTCTGATTATGAATGTATCATCTCTTATTGTTATTTTGCTGACAAAGTTAAAAATAGTCAAAAATAGAAAAATAAAAATTATTAAAAATATTTAGAGAGAAAAAAATTGAACATTTATTGATGTTGTAAAATGCTTATATTAAAAATATATGAATATTCAATTTTGTTTATTCAATTTTGTTATTTATTTTGGGTTATATTTTCATGACAATTTATTCCATAATTTTTTATATTTTCATATATGTTTAATTGAATTTATATCTAATGATTATAGATATACTATTGCTAATATTTCTTTTGGAGAACATATTTAGGATTATTTTAATGAGAGGTAAATAATGTTTTAATGAAAGGTAAAGCCTTTTTTACATTTTATGGTTTAAATTATCTTTTAATATATTTTAATATGTTATATTTTATTTATCTTTCTTCTCTACAACAATCAGATTTATCATTGAAAAAAACAAGTTTTAAAGTTTTTAGTTAACTATATTTCTCTCAAAATTCTTTCTTTATGTATCTTTGTTTTTCTTCTAATATTTTTTTTTAACTTTTCTTTTAACTACATGATTATATCATATTTTTCTTTTCTTAAGACATGAATTGTTTTAGATATAATTTTAATAATCATAAATTTTTTCATATTTACAAATTTCGATATATATTACGTATTTTTAAATTTTTATTTAAAAATTACACAGTAATGAGATTGTAATGAGATTTTAATTGTTTTGGATCATTTATATATTTAAGTTTTATTTAGTTTGCGCTATTAAATTTATCATAATATATAACATTGTAAAAAAAATTTTGTTGCAATTTTATGCAATTTTTCTTAGAGATTTTTTTCTTTTATTTTATAGTTATATTATAATTATGTTCTTGTTATGTCTATAATTCTGTTCTTAATTTATGTTTCAAAATTTATATTTTTATATCGTATTAAGATTTCATACTTTATTTTTTTTATAGTAATATAAAATCAGTATTGATCTAAACTAATAAAGTATTATCTGTATATCTTTATCTAGCCTTTTTTGTTTATATTGTATTAATATTATTGTATTAATGTTATTAAAATTGTTCTAGGATAAATTTAAGCATAATCTTGTTTAATTTAGTTTTAACATATGTATGAATGAAGACTAACTATAATATTTTTTTTCGTTTGAAATTTATTAATATATAGAATTAATACATTAAGAATTACACACAAGAACTACACACAATCCGCGCATAATTTCTGAAAGATCGCTTTTTTAGGACACAGAAAATTACACTGTGTACCTATAATGGCAAATTATATTTCAGATTCTGAAATAATATTCTGAAATAAATGTTCTGATATTTGGTGTATTTTTAAATTTACACAAGTCAAACTCTTAATCAATTGGTTATTTTGCACTTTTTTTATAGACACTGAATGACTATTATCGAGGTAGAAAACAAGCTAATTATATTTAACAGCTAATTATATTTAATAGTCTTATTTAAAAAATAGAGAAATGACTCCATAATTGACTCCATATCTACTTTGTTAATGGCTATTAATTTTTTTTTATTTAAATTTTCAAAAAATATTTCAAACTATAATACAAAATTAGTTTTTATTAGTTTTTTCGCTTTCGCTTTTTATAATACAATATAAACGGATAAAACGTTAAGGATGTACGATTTTTCTTGGATGAGAAGTTGAAGATTACGAGATGAGTTCCGAGATTTGCTTTATCAACTTACCACAATTTCCGTCTTTCCTCTTGATGCTTTTATTAAGCTTGACTCGCACCGGTTATTTCATTAGCTTCACGCGGCACAGGTTCAGCATTCCGAGAGCACGTTGAACCAGTATGCGTTGTTTGACCTATAACGCTAGCATGTTTCTTTTGAGCTGTTAATGCTGAATTTTTTGTTCAAAATTTGAATATATTATCAGTGCTTAAAGAAGAAATGAATAAAATTTAAATAATGATATAAAAATACTCGATAAAAATAAAAAAGAAACGATCTACAATCAGTAATTGTTGAAAAAGTATAAGTATTCAGTATAAACAATGACAGATATTTCTTATTTAATTTAAAATTAATTTAAAATTCTCCTTTCTAGAAAAATGTATTTGTACAAATTATGTATTGACTAAGAAATACTCAATTACTGAAATTTGCTTAATAAAACTATTCGATACTTTTTAATAACTACACTCAAAAAACATTATTTTTTCTTTTAATGCAAAAATTTTTGATGAATTACTATAATTGTTTTTTGTACTGATAAAAATAAAAAAAATAGAATGTGTTTTATTGATTATGTAATGATGCAATTTCTCAATAGCAAAATTATAATTTATTTTATATAGAATGTTTCCGCTTGTAAACTTAATTCTTTATTCTTTTCTTAATTCTTTATTCTTTTGATGCTTTTTTTTCTTTGCATGATGACACTACACTATTTTATAATGTTATTTTGGTATTCGTTATTAATGGTTTTTTTAATTTCAAAAGCAATTGAGACTTGTATTCTTTGTATCGTTTTCTAGACATAAATGTCAGTTAATCATTTTCAAATTTTCAAATTTATAATAAATTAATAATAATTTTAAAGGTTCCATTTTGTCACTTTTTTACATATATTATTGTCTACTTAATTACTATTCTGAAAAAATTTTTTACTTGATCTGCCAGTGTGTATTCAGTCGTGAAAGCTTATTTCCATCGGTCATTCCATTCGATCGCAGCCTTTTAAATTGCATCTTTATATAATCATCTTTAATTATATTGAAATTTGGATGGCTCTTTAACTTATATCGGCCTGATAACTTTTAACGAAAAATGATTAATGATTTCTTATTAGAATCAATTGAATCATCGTATTGCAAGTATTTATCGCGCCAGTAAGCCATAATTACAGATTGTAGTTTTGCAAAATGTTTCTAAATTTAAATAATTTTTTTATCAGTTTCATCAATTAAAATGCAGAATATGTATTGATAAGGTATACCACATATTTATACATATTCTATTGAATGAGAATATTATAGATATGAGAATATTATGTCGCGCTCGTTTGAACGCGATAACTTTTTGTTTGTTTGTTTGTTTGTTTGTTTGTTTGTTTGTTTCTGTTGAATTGTCTATACATCGTATCGGCTTTTACATATCGCTATTGAGATAACAGTAAGATCATTAATGAAAATACAAAACTCGATATTTAAAACGTGTAAAACGGCTTGATATTCTAAGGAAGGCAATTTCATTTTGCCCGAAAAAAATGAAGAAAATTTTACCAGTTTATCAGAAGTTTTTACACGTACTACTTTTGCACGGCCCTATATATTATCGGAGGAGCTTGATCACGATGTTGAATGCCATCACACGATCATGCCTGCGTAACCGGCGAACGGTTCCAGTCGAACTGGTCCTCAGCGTGAACCACGTGTTGAAAATCCGCGAGCCAGTAGCTAGTATAACTCCAGCCATGCTGGCATCGATCGCACTTTCACGCCAGTCAATCTTCTAATTAATTTCGGTGCGGGATTGCCTCGGGACTCGCTTTAGGACATCGCGAGGGTTACAGTCTATTTAGATATTTCCTTGATGATTACAATAGCAAATCTCGATTACACGGAGGACGAATTCGGTTATTATCGCGACCAGCTGGAGACGTTCGATCATGGATCGATCGCATGTTGTCGTAAGTAAATAGCACGAAATATTGTACTTTTAATTGCCATAATTTCAAAATTCATATATTTTTATATTTTTACATGCATCCTCATGAGATCATAACGCTAACGATGATATAAGAAGTTCGATCACTTTGATGATGTAATCTGAGGTTCAGTGATCACTTCGAATATTTGACATCGCGAGAGATTTGATCATTGTTTTTGCCAATCGAATAATAATCTAAAATTTAATATTTAATCCTTAATTTATACATAATATTTAAATGTGTATATCGTATTGACAAGTTAAAGCCTGTAAGGCTGTGCCGTATCACTTACTGCTCATTGTATACATCAAGTCTCTTGAAGGTCTCTCTCTAGGTCTCTCTACGAATATTACACTTTGTTTGCGAGCATTTAAGAGTTAATTCTACACCGTTTAAATCACGTAAGTCAGATCGTATCTGATTTTGCTTTAAGAAACGTAGTTCATAGAAATGTAGAAATTGGAATATCATATAAAAAAAAGGGAGATATGTAATTCAGAAAATATATAATTCATGAAAATTACATAAATCTCGGTGTATGTGATTTATTCTTAGAAATTTAATTTAAGGCTTAATTATTAAGAGCACAACAATAGGTTATTAATTTCGAAAATATCGAAACAATTGATTTTATATAACTTGCCTACGTTTTACAGTAAATATAATTAAGTCTCAACTTTGGAAAGGTCGGTTTTTTCTTAAACCATTTAGATTTCTCTCTAGAAAAAAAGTTGTTTAACATGTAATGTTTAACATGTAACATATAAGATGTGACACTCACTTCGAGATAATATATTGCCTCGTGGTCTTCTATGCTATGAAAGGATTCTTTCTTTCTTTCTTTCTTTTTTTTCCCCTCGTTGAATGGCATATAAATCATTTATTTATAAATATTTATGATCACTGATTATGAATTTGAGATCAAAATTGTGAAATTTAAAGCATTAATAGATTTTTTTTAAATATTTATGAATCTGATATTAATATTATAAAATGAAAAATATGGCATATATAATATGACAAATATCAATGTTGCAAAATTTGAGCTATTGTTTTTAACACATTTTATGAAGACTTCTGATATAACTGGTTCGGAAAATTTATGGAATTCCGCGTCGGCACGCCGTCTCGTCTTACACAGATTGTTTCCGTGTGCTAATTGCTGATCAGCAGGTGTTCACGTAGCTTTAAGCAGAACAGACTATTATTATGTTTTAATATATGAACAAGACAATTAAATAAAAGATTGAGATATCCTTATTGATTTGTATAGAGTCTAAGTATTATGTATCGTTATTTCATTATATGAAATAATAGCTACTTTTTTATAAATCGTTTAAGTATTCATTAAAATGGCAAAAACTGAAGAGCTATTGGTATCCATCTCGATTTCAGTATCAGCGAATTTCCAGTAACGGCAGCTACCGTGGACTCGCACTATGAATTCTTCGAGTCATGTACAGCTAGTGAAGTGGACAGTCCCGGCAGTCGCACTTGTCGTCGCTCTATTTTGGTACAAACGCCGTCGGATAGACAGAGGTGAACTTCAATGGAATGATTCAGGAGGGATGATTGCGGACTCGAATCGTGTGAAAGAAGAGACTTTGAATGATGCGAAGGAGGTTGATACTAGTCTCTACAATTCCGACACCCATCAGAAAATCAATCAAGAATCCTCAATTGGTTGCTGCGAGTACGCGCAACAGGAAGAATTAATTCGCGTCCCAAGGAAGGTCAGCGAGAGCATGGATATCCCTTTTAAAAATTCAACGCAATCCTTTTGTAACGGCGATCAGATGAAATACACAGACGATGAGACAATATGTAATACAGATGTACAGTTAGGCAGCAATCCGAATTCGAGTTACTTTGAAATGATCGCTATGAGTCAAAGCGCATCCTCTAAGAAGAACGATGTGACAAGAATATTTCATAACGTCAATGAGAAGGAGCAGACGCTGCATTGCGAGACGGAGCCATCTGGGCAAAAATATACCGCGGACAAATATAATTATGAGGAAGATGGGCAGGAAGCTGAGGATCACACCATGAAAACCCAGGGACAAGAGATCGACGAAAGAGATTCGGCCAATCATAGCCCGGTTTCCGTAGTTCTCGATGGCAGCGTCACAGACGAAGCCCGGAGCGAAGGAAGTAACACGGATAGCGGAAAAGGTGAATATTAATATAAATTATCTGCGATTACATATTCATTTACTCGTTCTTAAAAAAAAAATTGTTGAGCATTTTAAAAGAAAAATTAATGTGCCATAAGATTTAAAAAAATGACAGTTTTATTTTTTATAGGTGGAAGTATCAACGGGTGCAGAAAAGAAAATACTGCACCAACCACATATGATTTTGCTATACCGCAACATTTAGTGGGCAGGTTGATAGGCCGTCATGGTAGTTTTTTACAGAGTATTCGTTCAAAGGCAAATGTCGGCATATATGTCAATGATCACCCCTGCGATGGCGATCATAAAATTTGCTCGATACAAGGAAGTATTGAGGGCATTAATGTCGCGCTTAAAATGGTGAGACAGAAGTTTCCGGAAAAAAGGTTTCCGCAAATAACATTAGCGGAGATCTCTACAGTATCCGAGATAAACGAGAAAGTCGCATTTAATATCATACAACGGCCTTTATCTCTGATTGATGGAGTTAATAATGACATCAATATTTCTCATATTGTTAAGCCAAATTGGCTCTTTGTTCAGCTGCCGACTCATCCATCATTTCCACTTTTGCAAAATTTAGAAGATCAAATGACGCACTGGTATAACAAAGAATCAATACCAGTTTCGGATATATTAAACAGTAAGAATGATATGCATTGAAAAATAAAAGAAGCAAAATCAAGATATTTGAATTATGAAATATACATTATTTTTCAGAGAGCGATTATGTGGCTGTATATTGGAGCGATAAGTGGGTCAGAGGATGTATTGAACGTCCAGATCCATCTGGAGAGAAAAATGTAGTACGACTACTTGATTATGGTGGCTATTGGCAACTTAGTAATTCACACTGTAAGCCACTGCTAATCGATTTTTTAAGCTTGCCTTTTCAAGCGATTGAAGTTTTTTTAGCGAATATTCAGCCAAAGAATGGTAATTATATTTGATATTATATAAATTCTTTTTCAGATTACGAATTACGTTTATTTATTTTAAATGATTTATCTTCAGTATGTAATTATACTTTTATATTGTTCGTACTCTTTAGGTAAATGGTCGTCAGAAGCTTACAATGTGGTACAAAGTTGTTCCTCAAAGGGAGTTGCTCAGGCTCAGATTGAAGGCCGCATTCAGAGTAATATTTATGCGAATATTTATTTCATTATACAAAATTACGGGGTAAGTACTTTATTATTTGATCTCTGAAAATTTCTTTACAGATACTTTTGTTCGTTTTAAGGATATTTTTGCAAAAGTATGCACAAATTAATTGAAATTAATTAAAATTAATTAAAAAAATTTTTTTAAAGCTAATTTCCCTCACTGAAGAATTAGTAATGAATGGACACGCAGAACAAGTAGCATGGGAGCAGATGATGCCAGAAACACTAGAATCCATCTGTACATAAAAGTTGTAAGAAATTCTACAGTTCTCAGATTTCCTATCAAATTATCATAATCTGCGATTCTTAGTCAGTATGGATTAGAATTTAATATCAATCGTCGTAAATAATTTACTTCGCGTCAAAATTATTTTGCTTTTTGACTTTGTTCTATACTCATATAGTTTTTCATAATTCTTTATTGAAGTCGCTGTGGATACTCTAACATACATGTTTCCTAATGGTTGATTATCCATATAGAAATATAATAAATAACGCGTTTCACTACTTATATATATCATTCTAACAATGGTCAATAAATCTACACATTTCGCTGTACAGAAAATATACATATATTTTGGTCGCGTTTAAGTAGCGTTTATAATACTCCCTTAAATATTATTTAGAAAGAAATCTGTAAGTAAAAACTCGTTTCAAGCGAGTTCTGACAAGTACAAAGGATTTGATTAGTCTGATAACATAAGAATCTTTTTTACAGCAGTCTCTGAGAATTGTATTGCCCGTTATCTCTCTTTTTTATCTGGAAAACTTAGAACTTTTCATAAATCATGTTATTTGTAGGACAAGTCTTTCAGATAATTTCACATAAGAAAAATTGTTTTTGTTATCTACATAAGCGCTATGAGATTGTCGCAAAGAAAATGCAACCATGCTTAACTTTTCTACATCCTTGTTATATTTTTGTATATATTGTAAGATAGGTCTCCGATTGTAGAATATTTATATCTAGAAGAAGAGAAAAATTTATGAAGATTTGTTATAACCTTGGTAGAATAGAGTAAGCAATAATTTTGCTTTTTACAAACTAGTATCACATTTAATTTAAAATATTGTATCGAATAACTCAGACGAATTAGGTAATTCGTTTCTACGTGACTCATATCCATATCTAATCGGGGACGATTCGAGAATCTATTTAAATAACTTCAGTTTTTTCTCTTATTGTAGATTGCTGTAGATTAAACTTGTTATCATAAAAGTTATTGTTAAATATATTTCATGTAATACCTCGCGTTATCTAAAATTATTTAAAGATTGCTAATTTAAGATTAAAGATTTGTCTTTCAAATATTACTTTTCAATAATTTATACTCAGCGCAACCTTATTATAGCATAAAAATATTTATTTATCTTATGCTTTCTAATTATTTTCCTAAAATGTGTGATTTCTAAGATTTCTAAGATTTTTGCGGTTCAAAAAGACAGCTTTTTGGATTAATTCAAACGTACGCATATATGTAATACAATATATACTTTTGATTGTTTACTTAAATATCGATGATTCTGTTGCGCGATTTACTAATGCTAATCTTTTCTATGCAAGATTCCAATGCAGTAGAAATCAGTTAATTGAAAAAAATAGTCTATAATGATTTGTAACTTGTGCATTGCGCTCAACTGAAAAGGTTTGGCAGTTATAAAATGTTAATATTTAATATTGTTGATTGAACATAATATAGAAATATTTTTCTAGGAATATATACGTATAAGATCACAATAATTAAATCGCTCACAGTGTACATGCTTACTCGCGCGCTGCGATTAACTTTTACTATAATTTATTATAATTCTTTAAATTAGCAAAACGAAAATATAGCGACAATATAGCGCAACGAACGTCATTATGTAATATTCATTCGTAATTCATTTTTTTTTTGTATATAAATATGTAACTGACTGCAATTTTTGACTATCAAATTTTGTACAACACTTCATTTAATCGTATTATCATTATAATTAATTGAGTAAATTTAGTAGCTTTTGTATATTCATCGATATAATCTTTAGAATTATTAAATTTGCATCCATTCTTATTGTAAGTTCTCTACATCTTTTATACGTCTAGTAAAATATAACACAAAAAAGCTAAAGTACAGTAAAGAGAGAACAGAATTATGCTAAGATTTAAGTCATTGTTTTGTATTGTATAAAGCAAAAATAAAGATGTTTGTAAATAGCCAAAATATAATTGTACACAAATTTTTTATTCATATTTTGCCAATTTATGAAACATACATACATACATATATTTCTTTCAATATTGTCTGTTAAATTTAGATTTTAGAAAGAATTTATCAATATAACATCCTGTATTCAGATATCTGTATGTTATGTTACACATATGAATTTTTCTGTATTTTGTCTATTCATATATATATATATATTATAAAATAATATTGACTTTTAAAAGTGACTTTTCAATTCGATATAATCTGCTCTACCAGCCCACAGTTAATTTATAATGATCATCTTTCATATCAAGAAACTGTATAGGGTGATCCAAAATTATCGGATACATCTGATTACTCATATATTTAATTTTTATAATTGATTTCTATACCAGTACTTAAAAACATCAAGCTATTGAACATAAAAATAATCAAAATATAATGCGTTTGATCTAAGAATGTCGGATTCAAAAGTGAGAGAACGATTACTATATCACAGGAAAATATATTATGCAAATCACACATGCAAATACTTTATGTATATATATATATATATATAT